CCCCTGAAACATAGTTAAAACTCTAATGGGATAATGCATTAGGTACGTTATTCCGATAGAGTTCTAACGGAATATTAGTTTCAGGAAGTGGTTGAGACAACATAGCGCTATGGGTGATTTAAGAAATGTTGGGGGAGCCATGTCACCCCCTAGCTCTATGTTGCCTCCACCACTTACTAAAAGTAATAGTCCATTAGAACTCTATTGGAACAACGTATCTAATGCATTATCCCATTAGAGTTTCTAACTATGTTTCAGGGGGGTGAGTGTAATACCGATACCACAGGGACCTTAAAGTTATTTCATCATATTCATACGTGAGGGGTGTGAGTGTAATTTACCCTTTTGATAATAAATTTTACTGTCATTCTAGCATGCATTTGTAAAATAATTTTGCAGTCAGACTTTAATATGCATTTCAGGAATTTATCAAAACTTGGTGTTTTCTGCGCATTGTATGAATTCCACTTTTACATATAAACTCATTAGTGACTGATATTTGCCTACGTTTGGCAAACTAAGGATAACTATTGTATGCTATAGAAAGCAACACAATCTCAAGTTTATAAAGTTATTTCATCTGTGTTTGTGATGTTTGCTTTGCCCGACTTGGTTTAATCTCGTGTACTCACAAGACTCTGGTCCTATTTGCAAAGTTAGCTTCACCAGATATATTGCCCTTTCCTTTTCTATTTGGGGGTCTGAAGACTTGACCCCAGTCAGTTGATCTCATAATTTTATTTTAAATGGGAGTTGAGTTTTGTTACTCCGAATATTCTGTCTGCTATCCCCTATCAGTTAGTTCAAGTCCACGACGGCAGATCTGCATCATTATTTTATTATTTTTTTCATGCAATCCGTTGTTCTGATTTGCATGTTTAACATGACAGATGGTTGGAACATCAACAAGAATGCCGCCAATCCAACGCTTAGTTGAGATCAAAACTATTGCTGAGCAATTGCATTTTAAGATGTCAACGTTGTTGCTGCATGGTGGAAAAGTTGTAGAAGCAATTGTGTGGTTCCGCCAGCACACTGCTAATTATAGAAAACTTGAGGGAGCTCCTGATGTTATTTTTCATCACTGGGAATGGTTAAGCAGGCAACACTTAGTATTTGCTCAACTGTTGGAGACAAGCTCAAGCGATGTTCTGCAGGTTCCAAGTATGGTCTCAGTTCCTGCAGAGAAACCAACTGAATGGGAATTTCATCCAGCTTACTACTATCAGGTATTGACAACTCCATTTAAAAATTTCCCACTTTCAAGTTTAATCGATAATGAGTTCTTACTTTAAGAAGTTCAAACGTACAATCTCATTTTGATTAGAGACCTAGAACAGCATTTGAGTTTCACATATCTTGCAACAGCTAGCAGCTAGCTATCTGAAGGAAAAGAATTTATCTTTGGAGTTTGCAATATCTATGTCAGAATATGTTGGTCCAATTGATGTGAGTGCAGAGTCTGTGGTTGCTTCTGTCTATTTTGGTCAGTTTGCCAGGTTACTTGAGCTAGAGGATACTTACATAATGCAATCGTGAGTTTACCAGGCCCAACTATCTATCTTTCTCTTTCATATCACCACACATGTCTGTAGATTGCCCTATAGGATGCAATATTATATGCCTTAAAGAGCTGAATGTTTTCTCTGCGTAAATTTGGATGCAGCCTGACAGATGATGAATATGTTCGTTATACACTTGCTGAAGGGAAGAGGCTCCAGGACTCCTCTGAAATTATTGCTCTGCTAAAGAGATCTTTTGAAGCCTACAATAACTTGAAAGCTGAGAGGAGAGCCGCGTATTGTGGATTTCAGATGGCTAGAGAATATTTTTTGTCAAATGAATTTAGTAATGCTAAGCAAATATTTGACAGTGTTGCTAGTCTTTATCGACGAGAAGGCTGGTTATTGCCATTGTGGGAGATCTTGGGTTATTTAAGAGAGTGCTCGATTGGTATTAGTTCAGTGAAAGACTTCATAGAATATTCACTTGAAATGGCTGCACTGCCAGAAATAAGTGATGCTGTTGAGCTATCATCTAAAGAATGTGGTCCAGCTGGGCCTGCAACTTTTTCACAGAGAGCAAAGATACACAAGGAAGCGTTTGAGGTTGCGAGGGGGGAATCAGAACTTCATCTGAAAGAACAAAACAGTCACCTCAAAGTAAATAGTGACTATCCTCTTTATGTTGAGATTGATCTTGTGAGTCCCCTAAGGGTGGTGCTTCTTGCTTTGGTTGCTTTTCACCAACCAATAATTAAGCCAGGTGCTCCGTCTCTCATCACTATATCACTTCAATCCCAATTGCCAATAAATGTCGAGATCGATCAGTTGGAGGTGCAGTTTAATCAATCAGAATGTAATTTTATCATTGGGAATGGTCAGAAGTCAAACACAGCTGCCATTTCCCATATACAACCAGGTCGCAGAGTCGAGACAGCTCCCGCGCTGGTGCTTGCTTCTAACAAATGGCTGAGGTTGACATATGAGATAAAATCTGGTAAGTTGGTGGCTGACCTCTCTACTGACTTTTAATTTCTACTTTGTGTAACAGAGTGAATAGTTGAGAAGATTGTTTAAGCTTCTGTGGGATACCAATTAGGGAACCACTTATTAATTAATTTTAACCCTATTCCCCTTTAAAATGAGGACTCCAAATAAAACTCGAATAGCGATTAAAATCCTAATCAACGACTTCAAACAAAAAGTTCTTGATACATATGTTAGGACTCTCTATCAAAACCACTTGACCATACAAGGTGTTTCACATCAGATGGTAAGGATCATCACAATTTAGGTCCCACTTTTGAAGTGGGCATGATCCTCTCCTTCTGGTGGGGAAACTCCAGGTTTGGGTAAGAATTTCCTGCTTCAGCTATAGTAAGTTTGTGTCCTATGCTGCACGCGTGTTAATCTAACTTATATCATGATTAATGCAGAGCAAAGTGGAAAGCTTGAGTGCATATATGTAATTGCAAGAATAGGACCATACTTCACAATATGCTGCAGAGCCGAAAGTCCTGCTTCGATGAACGATTTACCACTTTGGAAATTTGAGAACCTACTCGAAACTAGTCCTATCGAGGATCCTGGTCTGGCATTGTCTGGACAGAAGGCTATACAGGTTGAAGAACCGGACCCGCAAGTGGATCTAATCTTAGGTTCATCTGGCCCTGCATTGGTTGGAGAGAACTTTATTTTGCCTGTGACAGTTGCTTCTAAAGGACATCCAGTGCATTCAGGTGAGCTAAAAATTAATCTGGTAGATACAAGAGGCGGTGGTCTGCTTAGTCCAAGAGAAGAGGAACCATTATCTGCCGACAATCTCCATGTTGAGCTTGTTGACATTTCTTGCCATGCAACTAAAGATCTATCTGAAGCTCTTTCCGACAATGTTCAGAAAATCCAGCCGTCTTTCGGATTGATTTCTGTCCCATTCTTAGATGTGGGTGACTCATGGTCCTGCAAGCTCAAGATAAGGTGGAATCGTCCGAAACCTATTATGCTTTATGCCTCGTTAGGTTACTATCCTCAGAGCGGTGAACCTAGTTTACAGAAAGTGCATGTACATAAAAGCTTGCAGATTGAAGGCAAAACTGCTCTTACAATCAACCATCGGCACATGCTTCCCTTTAGGCAGGATCCCCTTTTGCTGTCAAAGATCAAGTCAGTTTCTGAACCTGATCTGATACCACAATCGCTAGCTTTAAAGGAATTAAATATGCTTATAATTAGTGTCAAGAACAGTTCGGAGGTGCCACTTCGGCTGCTGTCTATATCAATTGAAACGGAAGAGAATAACGGTGCATGCATTGTACAGCCTCAGCAAGAGGAGTTCAGAAAACCCATTGTTCATGTGCCGGGAGAAGAATTTAAGAAGGTTTTCGTCGTTGTTCCCAATGTAAATTGTACTAAACTGAAGATAGGTACTGTTAGTCTGAGGTGGCAAAGGGATGGGGATCAATTTGATTCATGTGATAATGTGTCCCAAGTCACAACGAAACACAGAATTCCGGATGTGAATGTTGAACTGCCTCCATTAGTTGTGAGATTGGAATGCGCGCCTCATGCCATTCTTGGAAATCCGTTTGTATATTCTGTTAAGATCCATAACCAGACGGAGTTTCTTCAGGATGTGAAATGCTCGTTATCTGATTCGCAGAGTTTTGTGTCGTCTGGGCCCCACAGTGATACGATATTTGTTCTGCCAAATTCAGTTCATGTTCTGAGTTACATGCTTGTGCCGTTGGCATTAGGGTCACTGCAGCTTCCTAGAGTAACTGTGACTTCAGTTAGATACTCTGCTGGTTTACAACCCTCTACTGCATCATCAGTTGTCTTTGTCTATCCCTCGAAGCCCCATTTCAAGGCAGACGATACTTGATCGTCGTTCCTGTAAAGGGAATTTGAAATCCTCTATACTATTTTCGCAAACAATTCTCGGGAAACAGCATCAGCATGGAAGAGACATTCTGTATAATGTTAATTGTGTAAGACAATGTTTTATCTATTCACTTATATACTTGTATGTGGTTGTGTTCCCATAGATAGAGCGAAGGGTATGTGTTTTGTGAAAGATGAAATCCCTTTTTGTCTGTTCTGATTTATTATAAACGGTACAAGATATGGTGGAACTGAAAACATTTAAATTTGATGTAATAACAATGGATTTTATGTTTGTCCTATTTTTATACAAGTAAACCCCCACCCACCTCACCGCCAGGAATATCTCTCTATCTTTAGTTCATTTCTTTCTTCCTTACATCACCCCCATTCACCGCACAATTATTGTATTTTTTTTCTTCCTGATTGTTTCAGTAATTTAAATAAATGCCGTACTTTTATAAACTTAGAATTCTTAATGTAATAAACATATTTTTCTATTTATTTATTTATTTCTTATTTATGAATACGTATTTGATATTATATTAACAATAGATTATTTTTAATAATCTACTTTTATTTTTATAAAATAAATAGATTTCTCAAGTCAATATTTTCTTAAAGTAAATATAATTTGGGGATTCATGGAAATTATAGACTGGTTTACAATATATTAAATAAAAGCCAGCCACGTGGGCAATCAGAAAGAGTAAAAGTATCACGGGCGGGTGATTCAATCATAGTGCATGATCCGCAAATAAGCCGAAATATAGGGACTAAAGAAAAAAGAAGAGGTGGTGGTGGTATTTGAATCACCAATTTAACATGGATCAAAACCCTCGACGCAATTTTTATTTCTCTCTCCTAACCCAAAAACCCAAACCCTTCAAACTTTTGCTTCGCTCGCTCTTTTGTGGCGGCTTTCCCTCCTTCGCTTATAAGTTTCCTTTTCTCTCTCTATCTACAGATAAATAAATAAAAATAAAAATCCGTCGGTTCATCATGGCCCCCGCCGCTGCTGTAGATCGTATCCTTTTTTTTTTTATTTGAGCTATCTGCTGTATAGTTTCGTATAACTGTTTCTTTTGGCTCGTTGTCTTTACTGAATTACTGGTTTAGGTTTAGTTACATCCTGATTTGATTTTGATTTTTGGTTGAGTTGTTTGTCTTGGTTTTGTGTTGTTTTAGATCTGAGCTTGTTGAATCTGGTGATGTTGTGTGGGGTTTGTCAAATATTTTCGTTTTGCTAGGCTTTTCAGTTTTTTCGAGTTTCAACCCTCCAAGTGTTTGCTTTATTTCTTACGTGCAGATTTATATGTTAGGGAGATTTTCTGTGCTTGTGATTTTTAGGGAAACGCTTTGCAGCTTGGTGAACAAGTATATTAATGAAGATATGTGAATTTTTGAGTTATTCTCCTGACTATTGTAATTTGTGTAGTTCTTTTATTTTATTTGCTCTCCAGTAGGCCAGTTGGCTATTTTAATCTGAGATTGGATATGTTATGTTGTATGAGGCTGATAGAATTTCTATTGTTTTGGTTTTGTAATGGTGAAATTAATTTTGAAGGTGTTTTGAATCATTTGTGAACCTTCAAATCAACTAGTTGGGGTTACTTATTGGTTTTATGCATTTATTCCTTTAGTAATTTACGTCAAAAGTTGCATTCCTTTACTTTTCTTGCTGTAGAGGCTTCAGATTATTTGCAGAAGCTGTCTTTGGATTCCCAAGCTAAAACTTATGAAAACCAAGATGCCACCAAAAAGGTGTACTAGCTAAATTTTATATTTGTTAAATGCCTGCTTTGTTAGAGTATTGTTTGTAAGCAGTCTCTCGTTTCTATGTCTACTGATTCTCATCGTTTCACGCAGCCTTCAGTTGATTCCAGTAACGTGGCGAATGGAGTTCAGTCAGATCGATCTATCACTCCTCTATTGCCAGATTTTACGGATCCATCTACTGGCTACCATCCAAACAGTTATCCTTCTCCAGCATATTATTATAGTGGTCAGTGTTCCTTAGAATTGTTGAAAACTTGTGTTATTTGAAGATTCTCTCCAGCATGTTATTATCTTGGGATTTGAGTGACACTTCCATCTTACCATATTACTGCATTCTATTTATTTTATTTTTTACCTTAATAAATTAATGTGCTGTGTATTTACGCTTAGTAGGTAATGACTGGGAGGATTACCCAAGATATATGAACGCCGACGGAGTGGATATGACTCCGGTAAGTTGTCTACCTTTCCGAACATACCTATTTTTTGGGACTGAATGGTTACTATAACATAGTTGCATTGCGTGCTGCATTTACAGGTTATTGATTAGCCCGTCTAATACTGTTTTTCCTGTCCTGATTATCGGGAATATTTCAGGGAGCTTATGGGGACAATGGATCAATTATGTATCATGGCTATGGCTATACTCCTTATCCACCATATTCGCCTGCTGCTTCCCCTGTTCCAACCTTGGGGCACGATGGTCAGCTCTACGGATCGCAGCACTATCAGTACCCAACTCCTTATTTCCAGTCATTGACGCAGACAAGTGGTCCCTACCCTACTCAAGCTGGCTCTGCAAAGGGTGAGATAGCTACCTCTGCTGCTACTGACCAGTCATCTTTGTTGGTGGATTCTGCTAATTCAAAATCGAATGTTGTTACCTATAATGGTGGTGCAAAGGGAAGTAATGGTTCAATGCAGGCAAGACCAACGTACCAAAATTCATCGTTTAATGTGCATGGCTCCTACGGAGGGTCTGCTTTCACTGGCGGATACCCGGCTTCTGGTTATCAGGACCACAGATATGGATATGATGGTTTACAGTCGCCAATTCAATGGTTAGAGAGTCCATACTTCTTAGATGGACAGCCAAGGCCTGTAACTAGTTCGTCGATGACTTCCTCCTATGCAAATGGAAATAGAATCCCTTCATCTAAGAATCAGAATTTCCGGCCTCAACTGATGGTATGTGAGAAAACTATCACATCATATGAATTTATTTTTAACTGCTGAAGAAAGATTTTTGGTTCCATATGAAATAGTGCTTCCTCATTAGATAAGTAAGCAAAACTCTGCCGCAGGAGAATTGTTTTTATTGTGTAAAACATAGATGTCCATGCATGCTGGCAATCTTTTGTAATGAAAATATGAAGTAAATCACATGCATTTCTTTTATTTTCTTGAATGTGGTTATTGACCCATTACATCTCACCAGATATTGCAATGTGTTATTATGCTCTCAGGGTTTGCAGCAGCCAAGGCCAATGTCTGCCATGAACACTGCCAGTGGATACATGAATAGAATGTACCCCAACAAGTTGTATGGCCAGTATGGAAGTACTTACAGATCTGGTCTGGGTAATGGATCCGGTGGTTATGACTCACGAACAAATGGACGTGGTTGGATGGCTGTTGATAGCAAGTACAAGCCGAGGGGAAGAGGAAATGGTTTATATGGTTATGGAAATGAGAGCATGGATGGCTTGAACGAATTGAACAGGGGACCAAGAGCTAAAAGCTCTAAGAACACAAAGGAAATTAGTCCAGTGGCTTTGGCTGTCAAAGGGCAAAATATCCCCTTGTCTGGAACAGATGATAATGAGAAGGAGAAGTCAAGTGTGACCCCTGATCTGGAAGAATACAACAGACCCGATTTTCCCGAGACTTATTCTGATGCGAAATTTTTTATTATCAAATCATACAGCGAGGATGATGTCCACAAGAGCATCAAGTACAATATCTGGGCTAGCACCTCAAATGGTAACAAAAAGCTAGAAGCTGCTTACCAGGATGCTCAACAGAAGCCAGGTGGCTGCCCTGTTTTCCTTTTCTTCTCGGTAAGCACCCTCTTATTTAGCATTCCAGTATTTAGTAGTGGTGACTTCTTTGGATATTTATTTACATTGTTACTGACCTGTTGTATGGATGTGTAGGTAAATACCAGTGGTCAGTTCGTTGGTGTTGCAGAGATGGTTGGTCCTGTTGATTTTAACAAGAATGTTGAGTACTGGCAGCAGGACAAGTGGATTGGTTGTTTCCCATTAAAGTGGCACATCGTAAAGGACCTCCCAAATAGTTCATTGAAGCATATTACCCTCGAGAATAATGAGAACAAACCTGTTACCAATAGCAGGGACACCCAAGAGGTATTGTTATTGCTCAAGTTGTAATATATTTTTTGATATGAATGTACATCACGGCTTTGACTCGTTTGGTATATCATACAATTGGAATGAAATAATCTTACACAGAAAATATATTTTTTAACAGGTTAAACTTGAGCCAGGACTTGCGGTGCTTAAAATATTCAAGGATCATACAAGTAGACAATGCATACTGGATGACTTCGATTTCTACGAGGATCGCCAGAAAAAAATCCAGGAGAAGAAAGCAAGGCAACAACAATTCCAGAAACAGGTAAGTCGGTTATTTTCATTCCTGGGTCGTTTAGCGAGTGTAGTAATCATTAATTGAAAACCTTTGGTTTTGTCTGGTGCTGCTGTTGTATGTAGGCTCAAGTATGGGAAGGCAAATCGGCCGAGGAAAAGTCAAATGGTGAAGTGGCATCTGAGTTAAACAAGGAAGCTGCATCGAATGTTCCAACAGAAAACAGCTCTGTACTAAAACCTGCTGATGGAGTTGTAGCTAATGTTGTTGCAAATAGTTGATATGTTCAGCTTGTGGTGAGCCATGGACATAATCGACGAGATGAGAAATATAGTTTGGGTGCTTGATTAGAGTAACGTCAAGCAAGCAATTGGATGTGGCTCTGCTGATATCAACAATAGTTATGAAGCAAAGTTTACGTTTCTTCTCATGATGGGTATTTTTTAGTACCTAATAGGTTTTCTTTTTTGTGTCCATGGGGGTCTTGGTCTTAGGGTTGCCTTGTTTTTTTTTTCTTTTTCTTTTTCACCAACAGCCTTTGTTGCTTTTCTTCTTGTTTTTTTTTAATTTAATTTATTTCCCTTAAAAAAAAAAAAGATATTTTCTCCCTTTGAGTTTGCTAAGTGGTGTATCATCCGATATTTCCCTTAAAATGTAGCCTACTTTTCTAGTATGGTGAAAGAGAGAGCTAGAAACGAGTTGGGAATATATATAGTTTATTAATTTAAGAGGGTTTTTAGTTTTATTAGTGATTGTATTAATTAATTAGATGCCCGGCTTATGAGGTTATGGGAAGTTGTATTAGTACTGCATCTCTTTTACTGGTTTAGAGTCGAGACTAGCAATAAAATTATATTAATCTTTGTAGTCAAACAAATTCAAGATAATCTATTCCTCTTAAAACATAACAAAAAGCTCTACAATAAAAATGACAACTTGTACCATGAAACAATAAGATGTTTTTGTGTTTACTAAACAATCGATTAACATAAAGGATTTATTCAAGATGACGAAATCTTTTTCTGTCTTAATTAATTAATGTCTGATAAATAAATATTTAATAATTGCTGATTGCTGCTCAAAGAATAGGGAAGGCCAAGCCAAGTTTCATAGCCACGCCCGCCCACCTAAAATAAAATGTTTAATAATTGAATGCAATAAATTAGTGGGCCACAAAAATTAAATTAAAAGGTTTCATTAGAGGTGGATAGGGGATAAGTACGAGTTAGTGTTAACATGTAGGTGCCACGTGGAATTGATTTTTTAACACAAAGTTAACAGGCGCAAACGATACATATCTATTTTATATATATATGATTTTCTTGTGAATTTTTTTTGCATCCTAGTCAGATTTTGTTGATCGTATCTGTTTGTATTTGAGTGATGGGAATGGGGATTTGGAGGAGTTTGAATAGGAGGGATGGAGGAGGAGGAAAGATGAGTTTGATTAGATTTAGGGCACTCTCAACTTCAACTGAGTCGACGGGACTAGTAGTAGTAAGCCCATCAATCTTTTCTCCGCCGTCAATCAAGCTCTCCACATTGCCTTGGATACCGACCCTCGGTATTTTTATTCCATACTTCTTTTGTGAATTTTGGAGATTTTTTTATTGCTTTCTTTCTCAATCACCTTCAACACTCACTTATTTGTTTCAGTGCTTATGTATTTGGAGAAGATGTTGGCTTTGGTGGTGTTTTCCGTTGCACCACCGGTTTGGCTGACAGATTCGGCAAACGCCGTGTTTTCAACACTCCTCTTTGCGAGCAGGTACTTCATACTTTACTCACTCATTTTCTCTCTCTATTATCTACTTATTTTACATCTACTCATTTTTCATGCAGGGGATTGTTGGATTTGCTATTGGTCTCGCTGCTATGGTGGGCGTTTCATCATTTCTCTTTTCAGCTTCCTTACATCAAACTTTAAACTTCTTCTTTTTTTCCTGCTCATTGAAAACTCAAATTACAGGGCAATCGAGCAATCGCTGAGATTCAGTTTGCAGATTACATATTTCCAGCTTTTGATCAGGTGTTCCATCATCTCCTTTTATACCTATCAAATTGACTCTCAATTCGTACTCATCAATTCCTATTATGTAGATTGTTAATGAAGCTGCAAAGTTTAGGTACCGCAGTGGGAATCAATTTAATTGTGGAGGTACTAATTATCAAATTGTTGAACCATGCTTTCCTTTCAGTCTTCTCTTTACACTTGATGTGATTTGCTTGCTTTCATCAGGCTTAACAATCCGAGCACCTTATGGAGCTGTGGGCCATGGCGGCCATTACCATTCGCAATCACCTGAAGCTTTTTTCTGTCATGTTCCTGGTATTAAGGTATATATGTATCCCTTTGTGGAACTTATGTGATGTTTGCCTCTTAAGCTGGAATTGGTGATTTTCTTTCTCAAATTGAGTATCAACACGGGCATCTCTTAGGAGCCAGCCATCAAAAGGCCATAGTGACTTTGATAGAATGCAATGGAGATCAATATCTTTTTAGCGTGTGTCTGTATGCAAGAGGCTATTTATCCTCGCTTGTCGACTCTAAACAATTACGTACCTTCACGTCTGAACCGGCTACTTAAGTCTTAGAGATTTGTTATTACATGATTCCATTGAGGAATGTCTACTTATTTACACACGTTAGCTTCTTTTTTAGGTGGTAATCCCCCGCAATCCTCAACAAGCTAAAGGATTACTGTTATCATGCATTCGTGACCCAAATCCAGTTGTGTTTTTTGAACCCAAGGTATATCTATATTTGCTTGTTTTGGATTAAATAAATAAGAAGTTAAAATCATCATTATTTATTTACAGTCATTAAATACATGCTTAAATGTTCTCAGTGGCTATACCGGCTTGCGGTAGAAGAGGTCCCAGAGAAAGACTACATGTTGCCTTTATCTGAGGCTGAGGTATGTCGATATTTGTGTTATTGCTGAAAAATAAGTCTGCTACTAAAAAATCTCAAATTTCAGGTTATTCGTGAAGGCAGTGACATAACACTTGTCGGGTGGGGAGCTCAGCTGTTAATCATGGAACAAGCATGTGTTGAAGCTGAGAAGGTAAAAATGTCGACTTAAGGGCTAATGCATCATCAAATAGTTAATCCGGTTAGCCTTGCATGATCTTAACTATTCATTTCAACCCATATCTATCTCCTTGGGAACTTGCAAGTGATTTAAGATCAAATGCATTAATTATGACCATACCTTACCTTTACTGCCCGTGCTAGTGAGATTCTAAAACTGCATGAGTTATCTTCTGATCTGTAGGATGGCATCTCTTGTGAATTGATAGACCTAAAAACTTTAATTCCATGGGACAAGGAAACGGTGGAGGCCTCAGTTAATAAAACTGGAAGACTTCTGGTGAGGATCGGGACCATTTTTGTAAGAGTTTTATGCGATGAAGATATTTATCATCCTAAGCTTGTTTGGCTATTTACATTGTAGGTTAGTCATGAAGCTCCAATAACAGGTGGCTTTGGTGCTGAAATTTCTGCCTCTATAGTCGACCGGTGCTTTTTAAGGGTAGTTTTTCTTATGTATCACTCCCATTTACTTTTGTTTCCATTTAGATTGTGCAAGTTGCAGTAATATAAGGGTTGGTTGATCTGTGATGCATGCATGTTTCACCAGACAAAATTTGTTAATAAATATATTATGCAAAGGTGGGCTGTTGATTTTGGTTCCTAACTTTGATATTTCATTTTCTCGGGGTAGTAAGTAACTTAGAACTTGAATTATTGGCAGTTAGAAGCTCCGGTAGCCAGAGTATGTGGCTTGGATACTCCGTTTCCTCTTGTATTTGAACCATTCTACATGCCAACGAAAAACAAGGTTAGCCAAATATAGATAGATAGTATTGTATGTCTTAATACGAGAAGATGAATGTTGATGAATAACACCTTTTATATTGCATTTGCAGATATTGGACGCAATCAAATCGACTGTGGGCTATTAATAAATACAATCTGAGCATCTGTTGGTTCATAAATGTTGGTTTGTTGAGAATTGGTATTTGTGGTTTTAGCAGTTAAAGTAAAATGTAAACGTTGTTGTTATAATCCAGTTAGTGTTCACAACGTTGTTAAAATGCTATAGACACTAGAGTCCATTTCAAATAAGAACAATCTCCCCACCACAACCTTGTGTTAATACACTACAAAATGTTTACAATCTAGTAGTTTAACATCTACAAACTTATTTTTTCACGCATTATTTTCCTATATATATAGATTAGACTTGGGGGTACATGAATACATGTTATTTGTTCAATTAATATTTCTAGGCCTCTTTTGGTTTGATGTATAGGATAGATAACTTTCTTGCGATTATATAATTTTACACTATTCATGATTATATAGTAGTCAAAATTGTGGATTTGGTTTGTAGGATTAATCACAAAGGATAATTGTAATGTAACTTTTGGTTTGGATGATAAGGACTGATGACATCTGCAATGACAAAATCACCCTTTCCATTTATGTACTGATGGTCTCATACTCGGATTTCATTTTATCTGTTTTTTAGGAAAAAATAAAAAACAATACACAAATAATTTCTTTTTTTAAACAATGAAAAACTAAATTATGTTAATCTAATGCACCAAGCTAAGGGACAATTGAGATTGCTGCCAACATATTACAAATCATTATGAATCAAACTATTAACAATGGTTTTTGCCTCTGAAATGATCTAAATCAAAATGACCACAAATTCATCCAAACTAGAGAGATAGAGAACAATAGTAAACCATTTTTAGTGTTCATCAGGCTACACATTTAGATAACAACATTAAGGAAAGGCAAAATAGAAGACAATCCACATCATTAAAGCTATAATGATTGAAGTTTTAACATGCACATAAAATAGCAGCTTTCGATCCGACGGTAAAAAATAATCTAAAAGGGAGTTTAATAATATAACACTCTTGAATAATTTCACAAAGTTGACTTGTTTAGGTATGAAATTATTCATATATGCTCGAGGGTCCTGTCTGGTTCGAGGAAACAAGTTCACGCTTAGCGGTTGGCAAACCGGTGATCAATTTCCTGAAATACAATATTTATTCAATCTAATTTTATTTGGACAAAGCCTAAAAAAATTGTATGAATCATGTTTCACTTTTGTATTGTATTATATTAATATCTAGGGAAGTAATTACCTTTTAGCACCATTGTTGCTTGGTTTCATAAGAATAGTTAATCTTCTAGCAGTCTTTTCGAACTCATTGCGTCGTCATAATCGACCAAAACATGTCAATAAACACAGAGGATCACGATATGTAATAGTAACTAATTTATTAACCTTAAACAATGTGAATATTTTTTTACCGGATGGGTTCATCATCACCTTGTTTAAGAGCAACTGTTGCATCACGATAAAACACGTGGCTCATAATCTTCGAACTTTCAATTCCAAACACGTGTCCAAGCCTCTTGAAAACTCTCCATACGAACCCAAGAAAAGACAGATCAAGAGTCTGGCCTACATCTTCGGAATCCAAGAACACTTTGTCATGACCAGTGTCCATCCCAATTTCAGACGAATGATAACCCCGTTTCCTAAAAAACTAGGCACTAGACAAATCCAATGAATTCTTTTCTGATTGTATATTATTTTTCCAGTTGATGGACCTTTAGATTTTTCATGCCCAGTTGCAGGTAATTTCATTGTTTTGCGGAGATTATGAGCCATGTGGGTGCAAACTGACCCTCCCCCCTTCACGAGGTTGGCGTGATCCTCGCAATTGAGCATGAGACTGTAGATGTGGAAAGACTCGTACCACCTCGGGCTGTTGGGCTCGTTTTCGATCAATTTCGTCCGTCCGACTCGGGACTTCTCGAGATCGATGGTTGCGTATATTTTGGGAGTCCCTTTCCCTATACCGACAGCCTTTCCGATGTTCTCCATAAGCTGTAAGAATAATTTTTTTCACCAAGGGAAAAACATCTCAGCAAATATGCGATGACAAAGCTAAAAAGATGAAATAAGAGTGCAAATATAAAATTATCTTGAATCCCAAAAACATATGACATTTATCTATAGTCTACACTCACATCAAATAAAAATCAAATCTTTAACAGAACAAAAACCAACCCACATAAAAAATTACAGTGAAATTCATCCTCAGATGTACAAAAGAAAAACAAAAACATAAAATTGAGCTACTAAAAAATAAACAGAGATCAAAGTCCAGTGAATATCTTACCAAAGAAATTTCTCCATTTAGCGGAGGTCTGAAAAATTTGATTTAAATTCACAAGATTTCGGATTCAATTTCCGAAAATTGTTCCAATTAGATGTGTAATCGACAATTTCATAAATTTAAGTGAAAGATGAATCAAAGAAAAATACTTACCCATAGCTTTCAGATATTTTAAGATCTACCCATTGTTTGTTCGAAGGGTGTTTCTGTTGTCGCGCCAGTGAAAGGGATTCGTCGGAGAACCACCGGTGAAGCCGGTGAAGATGAAGAGCAGAGATTTTGTGAAAGTGAAAGATGGAAGCTTGTACAGTCTTTTTTACACCCAATTTTGTGTAAAGAATGATACATCTCAGACCCTTTTGGTCATTTCATCTTCACCCGTTGGACTGATTGCACAATCCTACCTCAGAGGGTGAGATAATTTATCACCCATTTCCATGATTCGATACCGGGCCCTCAATCTGTACCGGGTTTATCTCCCACAACCAAACGTCTGATTAAGGGTGACTATTTTGTCTATCACTCCTTATCCACCAAACCAAAAGAGCCCCTAAAGTACAAAATAAACATTATAGAATTTAAAACAAGATATGAATTAGTTGAATTTCTATAAAGTTTTGATTTACTGTATTTTTATTTATGTTTTAGGGTAAATTATAATCACAAACTCCATATGTTTGAGAAATTACATCCAGCCCCCTGCAGTTTGTATATTTCTTTTATATACCTATAGAAAGATGTTAATGTAAAAAATCTATAAATTATAGGGATAGATGTAACTATGAAAAAAAAAGAAGGGGTTTATTTCGCAAATAGAACTTACTTCAGGGGCGGGCGGTTGTAATTTACCCTAAAATTAAACGATTAAAAGAATTATAATAAATAATAATATTTTATGTATATTTTGTTATGAGATATTTGTGAATCGTCTTGCTACGCGGTAAAGGATAAGCAATTTTGTTGTAAAGAATGGAGGCAGGCTCCGTTATCAGGTCGTCGTCTTCAACATATCCGTTGTCCTTCTCCACCAAAACCCGTTTATGTTTCATCTCGAATTCTCGGAGAAACAGTTTTTCATCTTCTTCATTCAAATGGCCGCGGCGGCTTCTGTTTTCGTGCCCCACCAGAAGTTCTCCACTCACAGTTGAGAATCCTCCTACACTTACAGATTCTTCTTCTGGGACTAAAGATATGCTTCCCAAAATTGACAAGAGCGGCAGATTTTGCAGCCCTAGAGCCGCCCGAGAACTCGCTCTGTAATGCTTATTTTTCTCTTGTAATTTCTCTATTTCTGAAATTTTATTGGTTCTAAAATGTAACAATCTCTTAGGATGATTCTGTACGCGGCTTGTTTAGACGGGTCGGACCCGGTTCGCCTGTTTGAGAAGAGGGTGAATAGTAGAAGAGGTTATTTCTTCTTCTTCATTCTTGCTTTTTTTTTAATTTTTTTTTTATGTTATTTTACTTGGATATTGTAATAATACTTTTTTTTAGCATGTTTTGCAGAAAGTGGCTATAAATTTGATAATGGGGCTTTGTTGGAATATGATCACATGAGCTTTGGAGGGCCTCCGGTTGCCACGGAGACTGATGAAGAAGCTGAAGAGATTTTACGAATTGATCAAAAGGAATCCGATATTGGTAATTAATAATTCATGTGCCCTACAATATTCGTCTATATATCCATCATACAGCAGCAACAACTATTTACTTGTATCCACGCTTAACTGGTTAAGCCCCTTAGAATTAGTAAGGTTACATTGTATATCTCGATAAACTATCTGACTGGACTTAGGTGTGTGTTACTGTGTTTGTGTTTGTGTGTGGCTCTCTTTCATCATTAGATTAATTAATGCCTAGTGACACCTGTCTAATGTTCGATGTTTACACATTCGAAAGATTTAACTATGTAACTTCACTTTCTTCTCTCAGAAGCCCAAGTTCTTTCAGCACCTCCAAAGTTGGTGTACAGCAAATTAATTTTGCGGTGAGCCTCACATTGTATATTAACTTATATAATCTTGTCGGACATTATTACTCAACTTAGTCGACGTACATACAAATTGCAGTTTTGCTCGGAAACTTTTGTTAGCAGTGGCGGAGAATTGGGACAATAATGTGCTTGCAATTGACAAAGTTGCACCTGATAATTGGAAGGTTTGATTCTTAATTTCTTTAAACTGCGGTTAGGTGAAAGTCTGTAGCTAAAACATTGTTTTCTGAGGTACTGATGGTAGAATGTCGCTCCCCTTTCCCATCGCTACTGCAGTTTCAAATTTGAGCAAGTGTTAATTAATAATGATGGTTAAGTTGTTAAATTATGTTGTTATATTGGTTCAGAAAGAGCCAGCTGGTCGGATCCTGGAATTTTCAGTTCTTCATATAGCAATGTCAGAAATAGCAATTCTTGGGACAAAGCACCAAATAGTCATCAACGAGGTTAGCTAGCTAATCTCTCTCTCTCTCTCTCTCTCTCTCTCTCTCTCTCTCTCTCTCTCTCAATAAACAGTTATACTTTTCAAGAAACAGTTAAATGGACACACGATAAGTAGTTTCATTCATATTGGAGTCGTTTAAGGAGTCAATGCATTATTAATCGTTGTTGTAATTTGTGCTGGACATAATTAATGCAATGTTTATTTTATTTGAAGGCGGTTGATCTTGCAAAACGTTTCTGTGATGGGGCAGCGCCTCGTACAATAAATGGATGTATGAGGACTTTTGTCAAGGAGCTCAACCGGAGTGGTGAGGCTCATACTGTCAAAATCAAACAGACCCTATAACTAGTATTTGATCTGTACAAGTGTATCAAAAGTCCAATATTCCACTTGTGGAGGTCGGGTGATCATGATATAATACACATCAATATTCCCAGCCCGGCCCGGATTGAGAAACGAAATGAACCTCAACTTGAGGAATTGGACTATTTTCGGGCTTAATTTTTGGCTGCCTCCTCATAGTGGTTATGTGTGTTGTAATTGCATTGTAGCAATGTCTACTTTCTATTCACCGTATGAGGTTCATCTTCTTCTTCTTCTTCTTCTTTTTTCGTAATATTTATTTTATTTTGTCTAGAAACACACATAAATCTGAATGGTCCATGTTGCAATTTAAGTCAAGACAAGTTATTTGAAGAATATTGTCAACTAAATCCCCCCTAGGCCTCATACGTTTTAATATTTGATATCACATTCAAATATAGGTAAAATTATCACTACATTAGATCCTATGGAAGCACATATTTCTTATGTATGGGACAAAATTATCACTACATTAGATCCTATGGAAGCACATACTCTTATGTATGGGACGTAGTATATATGTACATTTTTTTAATACTAATTTGTGATGTAATCTAAATCCAGAAATGCATAAAATAAAGGGTGAATTAGGCCACCCTTGAAGGTAAATTCAAATTACCAAAAAATAGAAAAAAAACCTTTATTTTTGGGTAATTACAATCATCCCCATAATAATGAATCTTCTTACACGTCCACTATTACGATGTCAAATTTAGTACAATCTTCTAGATTATGTGGTATATTCTCCAGTTTGACCCGTTTTACACCATTCGAGCTCCACATTTTGAAACAAGATGATCATAATATGTGGCATTTGGATTGTTAATATCAGATTTGGTGCATCAAAAACTTCATTTTTGCACAAAACAAGTACAAACTAGACAACATTCAAAAAATTTATGTAGAATTTGACACCATAAAGGTAGACGTGTAAGAAGATTTATAGTTGATGGATGGTTGTAGTTATCCAAACATGAGGGGTTGTTTCGTAATTTACCATAAAATAAAGGGTAATAATCTAAATAAGATTTAGTTGGAAGGCATATTGGGCCCGTTAAGGAGATGAGCGGCGGCCCAGTAGAAGTAGATTCTCCAAACTCCAACCCTAAAACAAAACCAGCTCCTCCTTCCTGTATAAATAACTAGTACCATAATCGTTGCAGAAGCAGTATCCCTTAATCTCGATCTACTTCTCTTCTTCAATCTCTTAATTCTAATTTTGTTGTATATATATTCTATTAATTTGGTGGTGGGTGGGTGTCAATGATGATTAACAATAAGGCTTGTTTCTCAAGAACATTCGCAGTAGCCGCCTAAGAGCTTTCGCCTTTCGCCGGGCTTGAGAGTTTATGCTGTTCTACTTCCTTGGATGTCTGAGCCACCCCCTCTCCTCTACCCACCCAACCAACAATCCTTTTTTTTTAATTAATTTATTTAATTTTATTCAATTGAAGCCTAATATTGCAATCCGTTGGTTTATTGTAGATAAATCAATGGATCTATCGTTAGGCCATATTGAACCACTATAGCGCATATATATATTTGTATTTCTCCGTATATATATGCGTGTGTATACCTTTAGATCTGAAGAATTCTTCGTATTTTCGGTGATACATTTTATTTTAGTTTTGTTTGATAAAATATTTGTTTTTGATTTGTATAATGATGATGATGATGTATGATGAATAGGGGTGATGAAAAAAATCGATCGGATTCCCAATGATTTAAACCATGATAATTACAACCAGCTACTTCTGACCTATTCTTAACATCCATCATCATAGAATTCTACTTGTATTTTGTTAATTTATATTTTATTTACTTTGATTGGCCGTTGATGTAAGTTAATATTTGCTACTCTTGATGGGAATTAAAGCATACATTCTCATTTGATGATTCTTTAACCACCAAGATCTCTGAGGCCGTCAAGTTAAACATTTGTTGAATTTCATTTCTGGTTTTATATTATCTTTAAAATTGTCTTTTCGTTTTGCTTGTTCTAGATTTGGATTATCTATATTTAAAAGAAATGTCATTTAATATATTTAGTCTGAGTAAAATGTATTTTAATTTGAAAGATATTTTTGGAAGTATCCTACTGTTTTTGTAGGACCTGACGAACAACTTTGTGGAAGATGGAGATGCTGAATGTTCTGCCAACCTCTATTTGTGGTCGCTGATGATATCCGACGGATTCAACTTGCAGATAAAATATTATCTTCGGTTGTTGATATTTTCCAGTTTTATTCAAATTATGTTGTATTTCTTTTTTTATCTACATTTTTTTTTATTTACATTACAGTTTATTGTGCAAGTTTGATTTTTTTGTTTTTGTTTTGTATTAAATTTTGTTTTACCGATCTATAATGTAACATGAATTATAATGAATCATTTGAACCCAAGTTCACATGGAATACAATTTGTCGATTAGCCACAATATACAAAATAAATTTCTCAACTTTATGTACATAATTGATCAATATTTAAATGAAAAATTTCTATATATAGGAAAACTAACGGCACAAAACCCACAAAAAATGAAAACTAAAAGCCCTGAAATCTATATATAGAAATTTTTTGGGGTATTTTCGTTAAAAAAAAAGCCAACATTTCTTTGCAATAGTCGGTCAAAGGGTTTGACTAACGAAATTAGAAGAAAAAAACTAACGGCAGGGGGGTATTTGATGTTTTCAATACTTCAGGGGGTAAACGATATATTTATCATAGTACAGGGGTGCAAAATGAATTTTACCCTTATATTTTTTCCAAAATATGACGAAAATACCCCTGCTAAACCTATAAATATAAGGGTTTGTTTGACCCAATTTCCACTATATTTTTTAACATTTTCGGTCAATTTTACTTGGGAAATTTTTATTTTTTTATTTTTTCCTTCAAAACATTTAATTACTTAGATTTTTTTTAAAATTTTCTGAATAAAAACCTTTTATTTTTGTCATTTTGAATTTATTCATTTTTTTCTTAAATGTCTTCCTCTAGTTCAAATTATCAACAATATAGGATTGTAAAGATGTTTGTAATCTTAGGATGTTTGAACTACCGGAAGACATTTAAGAAAAAAAATGAAAAAACTCAAAATGGCAAAAATAAAAGGTTGTATTTAGAAAATAAAAAAATGTAAGCAATTAGATGTTTTTGAGAAAAAAATATAAATACCAAAATTTTCAACGTAAATTTAACCGAAAATGGTAAAATATATAGTGGAAAATGACTCAAAATATAATATATATATATATATATATATATATATATATATATATATATATGCTTGAGTAGGGGTATTTTCGCCATATTTTAGAAAAAATGCAATGGGGGGGGGGGGGGGGGGTTTGTATTTATGTGTAGTAAGGGGAGTAAATGATACAAAGTCCATAGTACAAGGGTGTTTTTGTATTTAACCCATGTTTTTATATGTATTGGTGATAATCCCTCATCCATGAACTATTTTTGTCATATTTATTAAAGTAAAGTTGTTTCTACATGTATTGATGATAATCGTTCATTCATAAACTATTTTTGTCATATTTATTAATTTAACTTTATGTTTTTGATATAACATGGTTGTATATTTATCTTATTTCAGTTAAGGGAAAAGTCTGATGAATCTTCTTTTTTAGCACCCATAATAGGTCTCAGTAAACTGTAGCTATTAAAGATCAATTTTAATAATATAAGATAAGAACCAAATATTTTTTTTAATAACTAAATAATTTTCCCATAAAATTAATATTAAGTAAAACGATAATTTTAATGGAGAAAGATATGTACTTGTGGGGCAAAAAAATGAGGATATCTTATATATAAAAGAAAGAAACGCTAGGGCAACCCTAAGAAACCCTAATGTCATATTTGTAATTTTGTTTTTCAATTTTTATCAAACTTTTATCTCCTTGATATTATTTTAAAAGGGCTTAGTTCCGATGCAAGATGTATAGATGGCCTTTTACGATGGTATGTTGTCGATAGTTTAGTTTTGATTATGTTAACTAAGTTATTGAATCTAATTACTTTTAAGCTCAACATGAAAGACATAGATGATGATTTTTTTCTTGGTTCAAATTTTCAATCTACTGGTATTAGCTCATTCAATTCATTTGGAAAATTATTCAACAGTAAAGTTATTTTTTATTTTTGCGTGTGTGTAGTATACTTAATAATGTTCCACTGATGAATTGTTAATGAATGATTATAAAAGAATTTTGATCATACGATACATCAAACGTTTATTTATATTCTTACAACATCAAAACAATGCAATTTGTTGTCCCGTGCATCGCACGGGTACAATTACTAGTATTAAGTAAAACGATTATTTTAATAGGGGTAAAAAAATGAGAATATTTAATGTATTAATTAAACTTAATTATAAATGAAATAAACCAATAAATTTAATTAATTAAGGGTGCATTTTGATGGAGGGATTGGAGGAAGGATTTCAAATTCATAATAAAAAATAATTTGAACTTGTTTGGATTGATGGATGAATTTCAAATCCACATCCCTCCTTTTTAGTTGTTTTTGGAGTAATTGAGGTGGATTTTAAATGACTTCAAAATTGGTATCATTTCAAGTCCCTTCGTCAAATCAAATCCACCTCCAAATTCCTCCATCCAAACGCACTCTAAATAAATAGCAATTGTAACTATCAAATGAGCGGGAACAATTTCCTAGGGCTTCTTACCAAGAGCAATCTTACTTTTGTTAATAACTAGCATTTTTTTCCCGTGCGATGCACGGCATTCAAAAGTGAATATATTTTTTAATTTAATATATAATAAGAAAATATAGTATATTAACATAGTAAAATTTAATAATGTAGTATTATTCATATTTTATATAACATTTTTTTTTTTTTAAATCTTACATATTAAAATTTATAATCCAAATATATAGGTTTAGATTTAACATTAAGATTTGAGATATATTGATGAAAAATAGGAGACTGATAATTGCAAAAAATTAGGACATAAAAAATATTAAAAATAAATAATTACAAAAATACCATTAGAGTTTTTTAGGGTTGCCCAGCGTTTTTTTCTTTTATATATAAGATATAAGATAAAAACCAAATGTTTTCTAAATTATTAAATAATATTTTCATAAAAATAATATTAAGTAAAAATGACAATTTTAGTGGAAAAATATGTAGATTTAGGGCCAACAAATCTGAATATTTAATGGATTTATTAAACTTAATTATATAAAATAAATAAATAAACAATTAATTAAATGAATTACAATTAAACTATCAAGGAAAAATTTCCTAGAGTTTTACCAATAACAACCTTACTTTTATTAATAAAATCGATTTTATGTAACGAATAATGATTGTTCATAAAAAAAACTTTTGTATCATACTATTTTTGTTCGTATAGACTATGGTGCATGATGATGTTAATTTATTTATAAAAAATAAATGATGCTATTTTTGGTACGCTACGTTGGGCCTATAATATACTCAATTTATGATTGGGCTGATTGATACTCAATTGGGATAATATGGGGCATGGGCTAGGCCTTTTGATTAGGGGAATTACCGAAAATGCCCAAAAGAGACATGAAGAGAGACGGAAAGCGGGGAGGTTAGTTTGGGTAGATGAAAAAAAGTCAGCCCTCAAGATCAAACCCCTTCTCTTTTTCCCCCAAACATCGAACGCAGACTCCTCATCCCATTCATATCTCTCCCTCCTCTTCCATAGCATATATATATAAACACAGATCCTATAAAAGCACCCATCCTTTCAAATTCTTACCGCTCTAATCCCCTGTTTTTGTCTGTTTCCCTCTCATCATCAACGTTTCTCCTGCTTTTTTAACGGTATACAACAACTATTGAAACCCTAGATCAATTGAATTCACATCTACAAACTCCGATCTACTATTGATATGTATTTCACTTATGACGAATTTCAAATCTGCTGCCCGCTTTTATATCTGTTACCCATAATTATGTTTTTTTTTTTTTTTTTTAATTTTATTTATCATCCATGAGCCGGTTAAGATTGAACGTTTTCCCTCTGTTTTATGATGTAGTTATATCGAGTTGTTTTTTATATTGTGGTATTTTGAACAGAAACATTCAAAACAGCAGGTCACCTTATGGCAGATCCTCAAAGTATGGAAGGAACCGAACCGGTTGATGTCACCAAGCATCCTTCTGGAATTGTTCCGACACTCCAGTAAGTTGTTGTTCTTGGGACTGTTCCAGTTCATTGAAATTGGAATATGGATGGATGCCTTTTAGAGCAAATCTAGTCTATGTTTAACAAAGTAACCAACCTCCTGTAGTTTCCCAATGTGCTTCAAGTAGTTAACTGCGGAGCTAAGTTCTTTTTATCTTACGCCACGTGCATAATTTGAAAAACAAAGAAAGACAAATTGCAGTTCAGACTTGACTATGACTTTCCCTATGTTAAATTCATATAACCTTTAAGTCCAAGAATGGCAAACACCACCAATTTAAGGCAAGGATTTAGATAGAAGGATATTATCATAGGTTTTCAGTGTTTTTTTCAGCCATAGATAGAGCATTTTTTTTACTCTTCAATGAAAAATCAATGTGACATATACAATGAAAAATTAATGTGACAAATACTGGATGAGTTATGGAGCTTCTTGCGCACTCTGCATTTGTACTCTTGCAAGAATTTGATATGGAAGTTCCTTGAATGAATAGTGAGAAATGTTTTACCATTCGAAGCATGTACCGTTAGTTGGAGTATGAATGGATGAATTGGGACTGTCATTGGCATTGACTTAATAGAACTTCAAGCCAAATGTAGAGTTGATGGTACATGATAGTAACTTTTGACACTATCAATCACTTTCTAGATCACATTTCTGTTTGTTCACTGGGTTTGAATATCTACTCCAGTTAAAGTTTCCATTGAACCTTTTTTTTCTTTATGTTTTTTTACCATTACTGAAAAATACTAGTGTTGTGGTTATGCAGCAATCATGTATGCTGATTAGCACCTTCTCATTTTGGGTAATATAGTTTTGTTTGACAACTTGGTTCACATATACGAAACAAGATGAATTTATGATTTAAATTGTACATAAAAGGTTCTTGGTATTTCTTTACTTCTTTTTAATTGTTGCAAATTTTCTACATGGATAAAAGGAATGAGTTGAGCAAGCATTGAGGTCTGTTTTGTGTTCTAAAAGTTTATTTGTTACATCTCCGATTTGTGATCCTGTATTAATCTCTTATTGATATGTAAACAGGAATATCGTGTCAACAGTCAATTTGGACTGCAAGTTGGATCTTAAAGCTATAGCCTTGCAAGCTCGAAATGCAGAGTATAATCCAAAGGTATCTTACACACTTAATCTCTGATGTTTAGTCCTTACATGAATCCTTCCAGCAATTGAACGTGTCATATTATGCATTTGAGGTTCTTAGCTTTACATATGAAATTTATCTTCAACCAGTAGTGATTTTAGTTTTTTCCATGGTAGAGTTTGGTAGCTTTTTTCCAATGATTGGTTTTTTTATTCCTTTTAATATTTATTATTTTAGAAGTTTGTGACTTTTTGTTGCAGTTTTCATCGGAGACAGCCGAATGATCTGGTTGTTTTCTTTAATGTGTATAAATCAGCAAATGCATCCACGTTGCTACTATGCTAGTTTATAGGTGTTGCTTGTGCTCCTTAGTATTTAGGTTTTGCCCTCCATTCCAGTATATAATGACTTGATCTAGCTTAAGCAGTAATATACTTGACAAAACCAGAAAAGTGCAAAATATAGTAATTTATTGATCTCATTTTTCTAAATTGCATTACATGGCATCTCGATTGGATACTTTTTTCTGATTGGGCTTCCAGCGTTTTGCTGCGGTGATTATGAGAATCAGAGAACCAAAAACGACAGCACTGATATTCGCATCTGGAAAGATGGTAAGTGCTAATTATCTTTTTTTTTTAATTTATTTTTTCCGATTTAAAAAGTTTAGAATATGTATCTGCTTATAGGTTTCTGTTTAAAATTTAGTCGTATTTTTGTGTGATGCCTGCTCAATTTTCTCAAGTATTTATTTTTCGAGAGGAAAGGGGCATTACATATCTCCGCTCGTTGATAATTTACCCTATTTTTTCTCATTGCTTCAGGTTTGTACAGGAGCTAAGAGCGAGCAACAATCGAAGTTGGCTGCTCGAAAGGTATACCATATGAAATCACATTTATGGACATGTTAACTTGAAAAATTTGATGAGTTCCTTCTAGTAAATAAATATGAAGTTGGTGTGTAACATTGTATAGGGGATTCTTAACATTTATTTTTCCTTTCTCTTACTTTCAACCCGTCCTTTCTGTTCTCATCAGTATGCTAGAATTATTCAAAAGCTTGGTTTCCCAGCAAAATTTAAGGTACCTATGACTCCTTATCGTGTCCTTCTCCCCTTACTTCCCCTTTTCAAGATAAACCTATATACTCTTTAACCCTGTATTTCTTTTTACAGGATTTCAAGATTCAGAATATTGTTGGTTCATGTGATGTGAAATTTCCCATTCGTCTTGAAGGCCTTGCCTATGCTCATGGCGCCTTTTCAAGTGTGAGTGGTGCTCATTATGTTGCGTCATGTGTGCTCTTTATTTTTAGTATTTGCTTTCTCTTCCATACTTTGCCTTGGTGGTTGTAGAGTGAACATTCATTTTTCTTAATGCATGTTTGACACGCCATCTATCCCCAACATGTAGTTTAAGGTGTTAGTGTCGCTTTACTAAAGTTAATTTCTTAGAGTTGGGTTTGATGCACTTTGTTGTTAATTTCTTAGAGTTGGGTTTGATGCACTTTGTTAGATTGACCTTCAAGTTGAGATTTGGATAGTTTTGAGGAGTTGTGCTTCAGGAGATGAAGCCTTAATTTGCAAGGTACCAAAAAGGAAACCATAATGATTAATTTGGGATGAGGAGATATGAAATAAAATTCAGTTGACGATGGATTTTATTTCAATCAACTAGTGGTTGTGGAGTCCAAAATTTAAACAATTGTTCATATGTTGATGCTAATCTGAGCAGAAAGCCCAGTTCTTCAGTTCGTGTTATTTGAATCCCTCATGGTATTTACTTGTTGTTTATTGGTTCAGTATGAGCCGGAATTGTTCCCTGGATTAATATACCGGATGAAGCAACCGAAGATAGTGCTGCTTATTTTTGTGTCTGGGAAGATTGTTCTCACCGGAGCCAAGGTGATAACTTATAGCTTGTCAGTTTTGAAGGTGTTTAATTTTTTTTATGTTAGTCTGCGATGTGTTGTGTAAAAAATGTTGCAATACCATAAATTTTCAACATTTTCAGGTCAGAGATGAGACGTATGCTGCGTTTGAGAACATATATCCAGTTCTGAACGAATTTCGGAAAGTTCAGCAATGGTATGAAAATGATGTTATGTGCTTCATTTTTCAGTACCTAAAGTCTGGTAAAATCTTTCCTCTATTTGCATTCATCACTTGACAAGTGGATTTACTTTTCCCTTTGTGGACTAGGAACAAACCCACTTATTGGCCGTGGCTTCTACATTTTATATTTCTATGTACATTAATATTATTTAAGAGAAGTTGATTAACTTGAGATTGATACACGGACTGTATTGTTAATCGGTACCAATCGATGGATACAATACATTATACATTATTTTCATACCTAAGAGCCGACGTTGCTATTGTATTGAATGTTTTGTTTCATTGAATGTAGATGATCTGTTTGCATGTGCACGTTGCCTCTGAAGGGGAACGAACTATGAAGAGGGTTGGCAGGCTATCGGAATTGCAGTTTGGGGTCAAAGTGTAGTAAATATGTTTTAGGGGAGTTGGCTGCTGCTGAGATATATATATATATATATATATATATATATATATATATGTATGTATGTATGTATGTATGTATGTATAATTCCAGGTAGAGTGAAGAAAAGGCACACATACATTGTTACTAAACTTGCACTAGAGAGGGACAAACACTAATAAAATTATTTCACACTAATCATTTATGAGAATGATATTCTTTATTTGACTGTCAAGTTATCAAATCTAAGTTGGCCTCGTCCTATTAATAATTATGACAGCTTTTAGCTCACTACGAAATCAAACGAACATCCATAATTACAAATTTAGAATCTTTGGAAAGAGCATGTACTCTTGACTGCTGCGAGCAATACACCATTGTGCAAAGCCCCGAGGGATCCAATCATTGAGCAACCAATCTGAGCGTATATGAGTTCGACGGCACAACTCAACTGCTATTTGTATTATTACCATATACCTCTACATCGAATTAATGTATAGAAACTGCTTTTGCCTTCTCCGATTAATCTTCTTTGAGCGCACGTACAAATGCTACAAGGGTTCTTCTTCCAATCCCCTCGGCCGTATCTCCCTTTTAATTACAACCTTGCCGTTTGTTAAATGATTTTTTCAGTTTTTCTGTCACTCTAAACAAAAGCAAGCAAAGAAAACAAGTCGAGCAAGATTAAAATAGCTCAATTTCAGTTTGCTCCCTCAACTATATACTTCTTTAAATTTGCACCCAACAATTAAATAAAAACCTATAAACTGTCAAAAAAATA